GGACATTTTTCTAAATTCCCCTTGTTTGTTTGGTATGGAACTGTTTTTGCTTTCATTTATAAGACAATAGGCCTCAAATAGGATAAATATCTTGTCTGTTTTTTCTCCCTCTGCTTCAATGAGCTTGCAACTAGAAACCCACTAGATATCTCTGCCATTTTGCATGATGCATAATATCAAATGAAGAGCTAGAGTTTCAGATTGCATACTTAGAAGATATGGTACAGGCATCATCTCATTTAATTCTTTCTATCGGTAGTCCTGACCTCTGGTTCCTTTCAGTAAGCCATAGTGTATTTCCAACACCTTGAATTGTTTTTATTTATACTGCTCACATGAATGTAGAATAAACAGAGAAGGGCACACTAAAAAAAACTTTAAGACAAATAATTTGAAGGACACCTTCCCTCTCAGCACCTCAGGTGAATTCAGCAAAATGGGAAGAGGAGAAAGGAAGATACTTGCATGAAGAAGAGTCCTAGGGTCATCCCTGGGCCTCTCTTATACAAAGATATCATTAATTATCAAAATACTGCATCAACATTGTACAGAAGTTTAGTGATTTACCTAAGTGGTTTCATGCAAGAGAAAGGATAGGTCTATACACAGAAGATGAGATCGTGAGGAAGAAACACCTTTCATAAGCTTCTGGAACCCAACCCACAAGAACAGGTACATCTAGATTAGTGTCTCCCTCTTGAGGGGCTTTTTTGAAAATATACATACACACACGCACACACACACACACACACACACGCACACACACACATAAATGCGTGTATTTACACACACATATACATGTATATGCATATATATTGAAAATACTATAGATAGGTGTACATGTGCACACATATGTATATGTGCAGATATATACATAGATAGATAGATAAAAATGGACATTGAACCTAAAAGCTACAGAGACTTCAAATTGTATCATTACTAATGTGTAAATGTTGCTAGTCAGTGAACTGGTCTGAAGTTTGATTATTTGGAACGTAAACAGTTGGTAGAGATTAGCTTAGGGTCCCTCATGAATTAAAGGGATGAACTGCCACAAAATTTCATCTGTCAAGATGAGTAGCGATCATTTCAGAGATCATTGGAGGAACTAAACCGTCTCTTTGTGCAAGGACTTCCGCCACTTCTCTTAGGAGTTATATTGTTTAATCAGTTTGATACACATGTACACTTATTTAGATTTACACCTTTTCTACAAGTTTACTCTCACCAACAGCTTCCCTCTCTTATTCTGCATTTTGACAATTCCTGTGTTTTGCTACCGAAACAGCTTATATATACAGGATAATTTTTTCTCCCATAACATTCAGCTCACCTTCAGTTTCATCTGTGCTACTTACTTCCCACACCTTATTGTTTCTCTGAATTAAAAAAAAAAAAAAGGAAGAGTTGGGAGTGGAGTGAACAGGAATAATAACATTAACAAAATTGAAATGGATAAGAAAAAAAGACAACAACAGCAAAAGGTACACTGGGAGATGTTAAGAAATAACAAACATTCAGGCAGGTTGGGGGCATTTTTTGCATTTAAAAAATTTTCTGTCTCTATTTAGACATTTAGTTAAAAATAGTCACAAAGCAGCAATATCACTGCTGACGTTACTTCTGCAGAGCTGGCTTTCCTCAGTCAGTGCTGCAAGATCTGTCCTATACATCTTTTCTCTATTGGCTAGCCAGAGGTTTTTAGGAATTCATGACTTGCCATTATCCCTTACTAATAGGGTTGCTTACCTAAGTCTTAGATCCATTCTCTTAAATTGGTGACATCAGAACTGCTGAGCCTTAAATCTATGCCTCATGTTTCTTTTGGTTGATGTGGCCAAAGGAAGGCCTGGTAAAAGACATTTTGTATGTTGCATGCACAACTAATAATCAGGAGTATAAGCTTGCATCCTCATAAATGTGGATGTCTTTGGCCAAACACCAGAATACACAATCTGTGACTGTAGCTATAGGGACCTGCACATCAGCTTGTTTGGCTTCAGGACTGCTGCTGCTGGAGATAATCCTGACAGGCACATGAGACAGGAAAGGCACCTTTTGATCTCTGCTACAGGAACTGCAGGAAACCAGTTTTAACTAGGCATATAATAGGTCAAAATGATCAAAAGGGGGGAAGAGGAGTTCACTAATAAAAGACTGTGACCCACTGCTCAAGGCAGGTAGCACTACATGTCAAGACTGCGGAGGAGACAGGTGTTAAAAGACCTCAGTTCCCCGACGTACGCAGGTTTGATCTTTCACAGGTGTAATGATTTTAATCTCTGTAGGATGCCCATTCATCATCATCGTTCCATTCATCACCACTGAAGATCAATGGCCACTTCAGTTTTAGGCCAAATACAGCATATGCAGTAACATATTGAACAAAATAGCGTATGAGGGAGGCAAAAGAGAAGAAGGAGGGGGCGTTCATACTGCCTAACACTTAATGTTTAACTTAGAAACCAACTTTCCTAGTCACTCGGTGGGAAAACATAGGTTACCCAGGAGCAGAAGTCCTAATGAAGGTGTTAAAAAAAACCCTCGTGGAGTTGCAGGAAAGAATGTGGCAAAATACTCTAAGCTCTCAGTGCTGCCCCTATGCTAGGGGCAAAAAGAAGGAATAGGGAGTAGAGCATGCTCCGTTTCAGATACTCAGGGTCACAGCTGCAAAAAATAAATAAAAAGAATCAAGCACACATAAAGCATTAAGAAAAAGGAGACTCCAAGGCCCCTTCCTTAATCTCTTGCTATAAATCCTGTTGCATATATTTTATTTGGCAGCAAGCTATTTCAATATATAACACTGACATTTTTCAAACAAGTTAGCTCTGATTTTGAACCCAGTAACACTAAGAAGGATGATAGTATCTTCGCCTTAATTCTTTACTCCTGATTAGTCTCTATAACAAGGAGTTTTGTTTTTTTTTGTTTCCGTTCCTACTTTTAATGTTTCTGGAAGTGAAACAGACAGTCGGCTTCATATTAAGAGTCACAAAATCTGTTAACCACTTACTGATATAAAATCAATCATGATCAAAACCTTGGCACACTGATGATGCCTTTAATAATTATTTCACAAGTCTGGACCCAGGTGTCATGATAATTACAACCAATAATTGCTCTAATACTTTTGGAATTGATTATCATGGATTTGTTCATACTTGCCAAGACAGAAATACGCCATAGACTGCTGCACATATTCTGATTTGCACCTGAAAGTTTTTCAGCCTTTAGAAAACCCTCTGTAAATTAGAAGGTAGTCTAATCATGTACAATTTTGCCCAGTCTTTTTAAAATAGACATGAATAGGTTAGTGCTTGCCACAGACAGTATTTAACAATACAAACAAACAAAAAAACCCAACTAATAAAATTTTGCTGCAATCGATTGCAAAAATGGAATAATAAGCCATAAAAACCAACAAAACTTAGGCTACAAGCAAGATAAAATTTAGGTATATAAATGAGCTATCAAAAGTAAAAAATACCTTTTCTCCTTTAAAGCTATTACTTAGGGTTTGTCCTTGGAAAGAAGCATACTGGGTACTGCACAATATGAAAGTGGTATCACTACAGTATCAGTAGTATCTCATTTGTCTTTGCAGAATTAAGTAACAGGGGATCTTTTGCCGTAAAACTGAAGTTAGAGATTTGATTCTCTGCAATGTTTTGGAAGCTAGTGGTTTTTAAATGTTATTTCAAGTTATAATATTACACAAAGCACTTATGTTTATGATACCCTCAGTCATGGTAATACTTGGATGATTTACCAACCAAGTGATGAAAAAGCATTATGTGCACTATGAGCACCCTAGAAGACATGGGTTGCAATACCCAGCTGAAACATTTATATTTCAAAAATACTGACACTCACATTCTTTATAGTAATAATAATAATACATAAACACTTAAAAAAATGTGTCGTATCTTCACTTTTATACACTTAGCTAACCCTGATATAACAGCAGCAATGTATCCAGGTAGCATTATTTCATCATTATAATGAGGAAACCAAGTCATTAAGGCTTAATTTCATCTTACCTAGCTTTAGACACTGTTTTGGGGTATCTGAGTTCACAGTTAATGGAGATTGGGAGAGAGAAAGAGAGAATGAGAGGGAAAGGTTGAAATATCCAAGAGCTATTCTGCCATGAAGGAGGAAGGAACAGTACATTTAGTTTCTTTCCAGCCTTTGAGGAGGAACCACGACCTATTATTTAATATTAGACAATTTTCATGTCTTGACCCAAAGCAACTATGTCACAGTGATGCATGCAGGCAGTGGTCATCTCTGGATTTCCACCTAAGCCATCAGTTCAGGAGCCTAAAGCTATTGCTTGGGAATAGGTAGTACAAGAAGGGGATTTGGGAACCGCTAAGAAAATGAAAACCTCAGGCTTCATTCCCAATTGCTAACGGTGTAATTAATAGATTACTGAAACCAACATAGTTCAGGCATTATAATTATAATTGTAATACTCTCAGGGTATTAGCGTGGTAGAAAGGCACAGGCTTCATCATTCATTCAGTTTCCCCAGATATCACTGAACCAAGGGGAAGATGCCACCACAATAAAGAAACAATGGACAAACACTACCTGCTCCATCACCACTTGAAGGCAATGACTCTATGCAAAGGTTGGTGTCAGAAGCGTTATGTCCCTGGAAACCTTCGTCATGTCACCTTTCCTTGATTTGCAGAGCGCCCTGCTGAACACATTACTGGTATCAATATAGGTGTCATTCAGTTGCCTAAAAATAAGTATCAACTGTCATTTGAGATACCCTATTGTGTCCTGCCTGGCCATAGCTGCCATTCCGGAGGTCACCTGGAGCACTGTAAGGCAGTGGGTCTCCCACAGGTCCTGTGCACCATCTGCCTGCCACAGGAGAATGTGTCAGAGTGACTCAAAACAACATTAGATGCCTATATTTAGGCAAATGAATGAGTGTCAGTTTGCTGCAAGCCAACGGAATTACTGAACAAACAAATCACTACCTTTTGAGAACAGAAGTGGCAGAATCTGATCGAGAGATTTTTCCGCTACTTGCACCCCTTGGGATGAAAATGTGCCAAGCACATTTAAAATGCTGTCTACGGACTTCTTCCTCCCTCTTGAATTAGAGTGACTGTTTATCTGAAAGGAGAAACAGGATAGATGTGATCTAATTTACATTTAAAATATACCAAGATTTGTGGTTAAAGATGTAAAACAATGCACATTAAGGGAAATGTCAAAGCCATTCATAAAGTAAAATCTGTTTATAGGTTGCAATATACCCAGAGATAGTATCAAGTTGTTATTTTTTCTACATTGTTTATTGCAAATTTTATAAATTCTCATTTCATATTAATATTCAGTATTTGTATTGTATGTGGACACTATGTAAACATGAATGTTCACATTGTCATGTTGTTATGACAATTTGGTTCATTTTTTATAACTTCCATAAATTATCTATGAAACTGCAAACTAGCTTTATCACTGGCATCATCATTTTTAGAAGCATATTAAATATTTTGTGAAAAGTGTATCAACATAAAGGAACAAAGGGAATAGCTCATCATATTTGATTATTTTATGATATTTTTATATAAATACTTAGTATGGTATGTTTGATGACTGCAATCAGGCACCTGGGACAAGCTCACAAGAAAAAGCTTTAGAAGAGTGTCTGTTCGATAATGAATTTAAATCACTGACAATTTGCAAGTGAAAATAATAAGATTTTTATATGTGCGTAATTTCTAGGTTCTGTATAAGTGTACTGGGAATGGCACCAGCAGGCTTTGAACTGCTGCAATGACCTAGTAGACCTTTGACTCTTGCAGATTCTTTTTAGTGGTCTAATGTCTTTGGATAGGTTTACCCATATGATGCAAAAGGTGAGCAAACTCATTCATGTTCATGCTTGTAAGCTCCTGGGGCAGAGTACATGTAAAGAGGAGACTATGACATTCCATTGGATTTTAACAGCAGGAGCATCATCACCTTTTTGGCATTTTCGCTTCAAAGACAGAAACAAAGCATTTGCTTTCCTCTTACATACAAAGCTTAAAAATGCTACAAACAAGTAGGCAATACACCAAAGTTTCTCAATAAATGAATGGCAACCTCTCCATATAACAGAAGTTTCAAAGTAACCGAGCATGCCTGTGGCATGCCAGCAAGCAGGAAAGCATTAAGCCGTGTGAATAATCTGGCCAACCAGTTGAGTGGGATTTTATTGTTGTAAGATATCATTTGGCATGGGTACTTATCCATTCAAAATAATGCTTTATTTCAGAATATATGTTTTGTTAGTTAAATTAATTTATTTTTTTTATGGACTACTAGCGACAGGATTCTATTGGCTTAGAAGAGGAAAACAACATTTCCAGATTAATTAGCCAGAACCAGTTCATATTGCCTACTTATTAGCTGATGATATGATAATCCCTTCCTTTTTAAATATCTCGTTTCATGTTGGAAAGGGAGGTTCCAATGCTCCCAGTGATATAACCAGTGATATAACCATTTCTTTTTAGGCTCTGGCACTTAACAGACAGGCAAGTTAAGTATAACAAAGTTTTCAACTTTTTTGTTTGCTAGTAGGATATCAGAATTCCTGACCCAAGCATTATCCAGAAAAAAGAGATGTCAATATATCTCATTTATTTCTGCAGGATAAATGAATGAAGTCCTGAGGGGTTTTGACAGGTTAACATGTTTGTCTACATATTAGTAATTTTCATTTTACAGAAAGCTTGGATGTCACTGCAAATTATTGCGCAAAATACTAATTCGCCATCAGTGGGAAATCACACAAAACTTCAAAGAATAAAAGGTGAGCCCATTCCTCAATTTATATTATTGACATAATTTAGTTCCATTTGGGTCCCAAACAAGCCTTTTAGGCTTAAAAAATCAGCATTTGCTTTGTTGGAAAACTTCTGACTAGCTTTACTGCCAACCTGCTCTTTCCACTGGCCTATTGCTCGTTCAAGAGATTAGACAGTATGTGGGGGTGTTAATACTGGAAAGCATTTATAACCTCCGAAGGATTATGTAGATTTACATGTATGCCCTTTCTAATTCCCCTCTGTTACTCGCTTCACACTTTCCAGCACCAAAACACAGTATTTCAAGACAATGCCAGCGCAAGTGCAGCCAGTGATTAGCCCGTGCCGTTGCCCAGGCTGTTAGAAAAAGTTTGATCCCAGTCACAATGAGGATACCATTAAAAGCAGACCTTGTAGAATGAAACTCAAAGTAAAATGGGACTACCTTTTTTAAATTTGTCCTATAGGATGTCTCCCAGTGTTCAGCAACAGATCCTGAAAATAACACAGTACTGAGAATTGAGTGAAACAAATGGTTTGAATCATGGCAAACAAAGCATGGTGTTACAGGTAGTGCAGAACAAAACATCACACCAAAGAAATATTAGCACGCTAAAGGAGAGCAGAACACTTCTGTAACCATCTGTGGGGATGTTCCTTCATTTCACAATTGATAACTGCCTTTCAGCAAAACTGTGGGCTACCATGGACAAGGAGGGTCCTCATGGAAATCCTTACTGGTCTCCTAAATGAGTTACAATTATCCCGGACATAAAAGATGTACTTAATGTGAGCAATTATGTATTCTTTTTTTTTTCCTATGAACACATTAGTAAAAGGGAAAAGGAGAGAAAACTGTTACTGCAAAAAAGCCACAATAAAATCCTACTGATAAGGTGAAAACAGGATTTGGCATAGTGTTCTGATACACTATCCTTGACCTGGGAATCTGGTGCTTGGCTTTGCCTGAAAACTGTGGAAAACCCAGACTCCTGTCCTGCATGGAGGAATGTTTCCACAACCCCACCTCTTGAACAAATCCGCAATCTGTCCTGCAAAAATGTCAGGGACCCAAAATCTACAGCTCTGGAACAGGCATTCAAGATAGATAGATTTTCTGCAGTTTGGGAAGGCGCTTGAAAGCCCTGGGGCTCTGGACTGTAAGCATGACTTGGTTCCTAGCATCTCATCAAAGTTTCCAGAGCTCCCAATTTTCCTCTTCTAAAGCTATGCTTCAAAGCAAAGAAGTGCCACTTGTAGTGCTCTGTACCTGTGACACAGTCCACACGGCAAGGGTGCTGGAAGCTTGGGAGAACTTCCAGCTAGGGAAATTAGTATTCCTGTAAAATATGCAGTGGTGATTGATAAGAACATCAGTCCCCTTGAAGAGTTCTGAGACCCAGAACTCTTTGTTTGGAAAATACTAAGATTAGATGTTTCTACATTAATTTTTCTTCAAAATTTCTAGATTTTAAAGAATTTAGTCTAAAAGTAAATACATAAAACTTAGAGAAGCCAAGTGTATCAATCATGCAAAAGAAGGAAGTCTTGATTTTTTTGGCTAGCTCTAATTAACACGTTTCCACTGTTATTTGTTTCCCTGTGAGGAATGTAATTCATTATTTTGTTAAAATTAGTCTCCTAGCTCAGTGTTCATCTATATTTGCCTGTGCTTTATTGTGTTACTACTTCTACTACCCACCCCAAATAAGCAATTTCATTATGGGCTCTATTAACAATGGTAGAATCAGTTTTGCTTTGTGCTGGGCAGGGAGCACAGGGAATGTATCAGTTTTTATTAATGAACAATGCCAGAATTCCTTTGCAAACTCTAGAGAATTTGTGAGCATTATTAGAAACTCATTTACAACCACATGTGAATCACTCCAATTTCTTTGTGTAGGAATGCTTCACTCTTTGTAGAGCATTATACATAATAACAATGCCACTGACAGTGCCGCTAGCAGAAATTGCCCTGAATTGCCCTGGATCACCCAGTTTTGCCCTCTATCCTCGTCTGCCTGCCAGACTTTTCAGTAGCTGCTGTTCCCTGTGCTTAGCTATTCTGACTTCCAAAGAACTTGAAGAAGGCTCTCAGCCAACAAAGTATTAACATTCACTGTTGCTAATGCCCAGATTGCAATTACTTTTAATCTGTTTTCAGATATCAGTGGAAATAAATGAAGGACCCCTATGGGACATCCTTTCCTTAAAGACTTCCAGAAAAGGAGATACTTTCCTCTTTCCCGAGTCCTAAAAAGTTCGGGGGAAAAGCAGCTACATAAGCTGCAACCATATGGTGCAAACAAACAAAATAGTGAGTTTAACTATGCAGACTATCCCATATTCTTCCATCTAGTCACAGGATTAAGTTAGAAACATAGTCCTTAGCTCTTGTTGCAGATAATAGCAAAAAAGAGGGGAAAAGAGAGGAAAAAGGACATCTTCTGGAGGTGACTCAGCTCTTAGGCAGGCTGCATCATGTTTACAGTCTTCTATTGTTTCACACGATTTTAGAAAAACCCTAAAGGAACAGTGCTCTTAATTTATATAGTTCTGCCGCAAATCTGCAACTGGGTAGGACAATTCTAGGTCTGAGCACTGCTGAACGTATAAGTTAAGTAGGTTGAATAAGCAATGAAAGATTTACTTTCTATCAAGAGCTTGAGATTTACAAAGCGGCTGCTTGACACACCCTGTCAAGTATTATGAATTTTTGGGTAAAGACCCAAGCTGAGCACACATTCCGAAATTATATTAAAAGGAGATTTGGGTATACTTACATAAAGACATTAATTTTACATAACAGAAGCCAAAATATTACTTGTTTTGTTTCATTTTGGTGTGGCATTACTAAGAATAAGTCTTTATTAAAGAAAACAATTATGGTGCTGTTATTCAGGACTACCTATGCATCATGATTAACGAGTTCCACGGCAACCTCAATCACCATCGTACTAAGATCTCAGCCTTCGTGACCCTCAAGGGAACATCAAAATGTTTCCTACCCCAGTGCAGTGGGAGCGGAACCCAACAAAAGTCTAGCCACAAATGAGGTGCAGAACTATCTACAGTCCACCAATGTTCCCATTCCAGGATAACTTGCATAATTTCATTGAATTTTGGGTCTTGACCTGTCCTTACTCTGAAGTTGCCTGAATATTTTTGTATTTTGATGAAGAGAAGAATTATCTACCTTTGTAAAATGTCTTTTTTTTTTATGATTTTACTAGCAATATTCCTTTTAAACGCTAGTTAGTCAAGTTCTTGCCTGCAGAGCAAAACCATATGGCATCTTCAGACCTGTAGTTACAGTCCTGAGTAAAGGTGAGAAGAGAGCAAAGGGGAAAATGTGTGATGTGCACCTCCCTGTGATGAAAGTTTGAAGGCAGTATGATTTAGAGGAAGATCACTCTGTCAGATTCCCTCCCACACACACAAATACAGACTTTCCCCTTAGTAGGAAGCAGAAATTTATTGCTGGGCCACATCCGTCATCATTTATAGAAACAGCACTGGCACCTCAGAAGATTCATGAGAGCAAAGATGGAGGGGTGTGACATTTAGCTTCTTTCTCTTCTCTTCTACTCTCTCTTTCATGGGAAGGACTTTCTACCTCTGACCCTTTATCTGCGAAAGTGTGAAAAAAGAAAATTAGGTTTTGTCTCAGACAGTCTACACCTCCATTGTGTAGTGTTTTTGCCAACTTGCCTATCTGGCAGTTTTGATTTGGTTTATTGCTTAATTCCCACTTACTCTGCTGACATCTGATGCCCTGCAGATTATCCTTGTAGTGTGCAAAAGATCATGATGTCGCACTATTAAGAAATTCTTAGTAGTTTTTAGAACATTCAGCAGTCTGTGCAAGGGTTAAATCATCCTTCATCAGTGTGGAGATTCACTAACATCGAAATTATTAGATTTTACCACTGTGCAATCTGATCACAGGTCATCCCTTCACACAAACTGGTGATATTACACACTGACACTACCTCTCAGAATATATACGTGCTCACCATATACTACTTTGGTGCTTCAGAATTCTATGCTTCCAATAGAGGCAGCAGCATTACACCTCAGTGTAAAGTCAAAAATGTTTTCAAGTACAAGAACTACTTTATCAAGGCCTGTAAAATCAGTTGGAGCATGTGGTGCAGAGGGTGAGTTGTCAAATGTCATTTGACCTCCATATCATGCTGAAGAAAAGGCTTTTGTCCTGACAAAGTGAAATCACAGCTGATAAATTTGCAAATGATTTCACCTTCCTTCTTCTCTCTCTGTAACATGCTACCAAATCACCATCTCTGATTACTTCAGTTTCCTTGCTGATAGCCTCTCTGACTCTTCAGCTTCACCTGACTTCTCTCTCACACTTTCGTTTCCTTTCCAATTCTGGTTGAACTCTTCCCATTTGTTTAAGTCAGTTACTTACAGTTACTACAGTCAATTACTTGATATGTGCTTTACCAAGTGATGTTCCCACTTCATACTCTTCATCGTGTAGAGTTTTCTTCCCACTTTGACCTCAATATCAATTACTAGTCCCATTATTTGTTACTCTGCCCTTTGGGAAGCTCTGTGGGACATACACAATGTCATCTGGGACTGTATGGCTTCTATTATTGCGGGTTCATATTCTTGATTAGACCTTTTGCAAACTGCTATGATAAACATATTTCATAACACAAGATATTAAATGTAGCTTCTGGAAGTCTAATCCTGCTAGTGATGCTCAGCATGTGAAAGGGACAAACAAAAGGAAGAACTGTTACAGCTTGGTTAAACTTGTATCAACAGATTTTAAGATCAACTGTATAAAAGCAATAGGGATAAGTACTGGTATAATTTTGTATTGAGAAGAAGGCAAGTAAATAATTAATGAAACTGGGTAGTTTATCTTCTTCTTCTTTTTTTTTTTTTTAATCCAGGTAAACCCACATAAAATTTACTTCAATGGCTGCCTGTAATCCTTGCTCTGAAGCATCTTCAGATACTTGACATTATTATGTAATACCATACAACAAATTAGTACTTTGTCTCAAAACCAGAAGAAAAGCCATCACGGATTTGGAAAGGGAAATGATATATATATGTGCAAAATCGTGAGATGAAGAGGCAGACCAGAAGTGTTAATACTGTGCAAGGACTGCTTAGCAGATTGGCTTGCTCTAAAAGCATGAATGGGCCGAAGTATTCTAAACTCACTCTGAAATAAGCTCTTTCTTGAAAGGTAACTCATATTAAAAATCAACTTTATATTCCTGAAACATGGAAACAGTGAGATCCATTAGTCAAAATGCTTGTATCATCTTATGAATAGGTAGGATTAAGATAAAGGTTTATCCCAGGATAAGGAGAGGAGAGGAGAGGAGAGGAGAGGAGAGGAGAGGAGAGGAGAAGAA